TTTACTTGTCTCCTGGTGTTTTTGTGAATCTACTGTGTGTAATTCCAGTGGCAACTTCAGCAAAACACTAGTGTAAATTCAATGTAAAAAATTACCCAGATCTCTCTTCTAGTTTATTATTTATATGTTGATTTCAATTATTAAACCGTCATCCAGTTTCATTTGCAAATCTATTATTTCTATCTCTTTCTTGTAAATTATTATTTTTTAGTCCATTTGCAAACCAATTTCAGTTTTATTCAACAGAACTTGTCCCTCTTCCTTAACACCTTCTGTTTCTTTTGCAGAGGTACATAATGGAAGACTTCCTGCACCCATTCATTAAAAATCTCTTTTTAAAGTAACCATCTGATGCCTTCTAGTGTTTTCAAACATAGACATTTCCCATGAGAAAAGATCCATTCAGTTAATTTCAAAGACTTAAAGCAAGTCCATCTAAGCCCTTAATCAGTTTAAACAATTCTAAAGCTAACATTAAGAATTGTTTTGCTCTAAATGCTAGTGTTTTCTTCTTACAAATCTTTAAACTTGTAACTGAGCTGTTTTAGAAAGGATTGTGGAAAAACTGACCCAATGATTTCAATAAAACTTGCCAGTCTGAATGTTCTCAATCTTTAAACAACAACAAAAATAAATGTGATTAAGAGATGAACCTGGGTCAAACTTAAGAGTTTGCATAGATGACATTAGCAGCTATAAGCATGATGGAATCATGCGACTCCCAGCCAATTGTAAGCTGACTGCAAAAACGCAATTCCTGCCATCTGCTCACAAACAAAAAACAAAAAAACCCAGCTGTCCATACTACATATGGCAATCTTGTGATCTCTCCTTACTCCAAAGAGATTTTGGGAGCCTAAACCCTGCATTTGAGCATTACTCTCAGTTGCAATGTGACCTCTTCTATTCACCATGGGGGTTCACCAAAAGCTGTTATTTGAAATAATTGAAAACCTGTTCAAGTTTCACAGGAAGTGTTTGGATTCTATATACTGTGAAATCACTGTTGTTAGTACAATATGTAATAGTGTATCTCTGGCAGCCAAAAAAATGGAATTTTTGTTTCTGATAATAGCCTGAATAGAAATTATGAAGAAATTTTATTGGTTTAACAGTAAAAATGCTGTAGAACTAGAGGCTAGAATAAATGAAGTTATTTGTATCTGTTACCCTGGAATTGTGGCCTGGCTTATTTTTTTCCCTAGAGTCCTGTTTTGTTCAAAAAAGTAGTTTGCTACTACTATTAAAATATAACAGAAAATACCATTCAATATAGAATATATTTTTTGAATAATATTTGAAAATGATAAATTGGGAGATGTGGCCAATCAGCCCTCATCAAAAAGTTATTTCACTTGCTTCATGAGGTGGAATAACAAATAGCATTTCCCATCTCACAATACTATTTTTCTGGATAAGAAAATATGTGTATCCATGGGAATAAAAATATAATTCTAATCACTAAAAACAACTATTTGATTTCTTTTTGAGACATTTTGTTTTAGATGGCCATGTCATTCTGATTCAACAGAGTAATTATTTCTCTCAACTACCTTACCTTGTTTTTAGTACTATATTAAGTAATAGTGAAATTATGCAATGTGGTGGAAATATACAGATGTCACTATAAAGCATCAAAGTAAGGTGAAGACACTTTGATTCTGTAAAAAATTAGATTGTTCAAATAAAAGAAATTAGTTTTTTAAAATCCCTTGAAGCCCTATAAAAATAGTATTTCAGTTCCTTAACCTAGTGGGACAACGTGGCTTGCTTTGCTGGAAAGAGATGACAAATATCAAAAGTTGGTGTAGTTGTTAAGATAATAGGTTGGAGACCTGGAGATTGTAAGTTCTAGAGCTGTTTTAGGCATGAAAGCTGGCTGCATGACTTTGGTCACTCTCACTCAGTCCAACCAACCTCCCAGGGCTATTGTGGGGAAAAGACAAAGGAGTATTAGCTATGTTTACTGCCTTATTTATAAAATATAATAAAGGTAGTGAAAAACTTAAAATTAGAAACAGCAATTACAGCATGCTTAAAGAAAAATCCACCCCAGTTCCAAGCCGGGGGAAAGACGCTGGGGAAAAAATGGAGGCTGATTGGAAAGACATTGATGTGCAGAACCAACAACAACATGTAGTTCTGGGACAGCTGACAAATTGGTTTGATGAGTACATGGATTTTTATAGAGTTCTGAGATGCTGCAGGGGGTTGTGCAATGTAGTGAGCCTTGTGCCTTTTGCTATTCTAATGGAGGTGGGTTAATCCTCAATTGGATAGAGGATCTCCTTTGGAGGCAGTGTGTGGGTCAGTGTGCTCTGTTTCCAAAGGTTGTAGAGTTATCCGGAGGTCTAAAAGATATGAGAGCAAGATCATCCTTTGTGGGTGACACTCCCAGAAGAGGCATTGTTGGTCTGACATAGGAATGTCAAAAAGAGGATAAGAGATGAAGAGGTGGAGTGGGGTGGATAGTTTGCAGGCAGGGTTTGAAAAGACACGAGTTGACACTACACTTGTTAAATAAACAGATAAAACCCACTTAAGCACATAGAGTAAATGGAAGAATAAAACTTTTCTTCTAAATGAACTTGAAACATTCCCTCCTGACAACCTTGGACTGGTTTTTATTGTTAAAGGTACAGAGAGGGAAGAAGAAAAAGAAAGGACACAGCTCTCTTCATCTTGTTTTGTTTTGTTTTGTGGTTTAACAATTTTTTCTAACAGTTTAGAGTTCTTGTCTCTAGGGATTAGAGACATTTAACAGTTACATTTATCTAACACACCAAGACCTTTACACACACACACACACACACACACACAGACAGACAGACAAGGGAAAGAGGGGGACAGCTGAACTCTCAGGTGTACACACCGTAATCATTTTCTCCATAAATCTGTTAACTTTAGGAAAGACCTTAACAAACATATTAATTGTTTAGAAGAAGAAAAAAACTCAGTGTTACTATATCTTCATTTTCTTTTAAGTACCTTTATTTAGCCAAATTGGTTTTCTAGCTTTGTCCCTGAGCAAAACTCACTCCTTAAACAACTTCCTTGCTTGCTTGTTTCTTTGTCATACCACCAGGACAGGCAGCAGCCTCTCATTCGAGGCATCAAGAACGTCTCCTAGAGAGGAGCCTCCCCTGATCCTTGAGCTAGAGCTTCCCACATCTCCCTATTTCCAATGTAGGGATTCAGTTTGCTCTGCCGGGTTGCAGCAATTAAGTCTCCTAATGAGCTTCTGCCCTGCCTATTCAGTTTTTGGACAAAAAAACTCATCTGGAAGGACTCTGGCTCCCTATCAGAGTAAGGGCATCTCCTTTCCTGGGATCTCCTGCTATGGTTTTCAGACCAAATATGAGTCTGGGAGACCTGCTGTTCCCCTGCAGTGAGTATGTACATCTCTTTCCACAGCCTTTCTTGTCTCGGTTTTCAGACCCAGGAGAGTCTGGGAGGAACCCTGCCCTCCTTAGCAGTGTTAAGGACACTTTGGACAGGGCTTTGCTCAGTAACTTCCCAGCTGATTGCTTAGGTTTGACTCACTCACTTTTCCATTCCATTTTCATAGTTTCCCTTCTATAGGAGGTCCTGTGTGCTGACCAAATCCCTTGCTTTCCTGGGTCTGTGGGTTGTACAGATCTGTTTGTGGCTAGGAAAGGCACCGAGGGAGCAGGATCCAGCTATGATTGAAGGATCCTCTCGCACACACAGGGATACCTACATTTCCCTCACTCCTGGGCTTTAAAAGTTAAAATTTAGAGGTACTCATCTTCTTTCCAAGCAGCCCATTGAACCCAAGAATCAAAACTCCCTTTACTACCCTTGTTCCAAGTGGCCAAGGTCAAGGAAGGCTCACCCACAGATACAAGAGGTCTGCTGCCCGCAAGGTGGATGCTTACACGGGCCAGCTCCGTAGCTTGGAGTCTCATCTAGGTGGCAAATTGTTGGAAGAAAAATCTGGTCCCATTCCAAGTTGGGAGAAATATGCTGGAAATAAAATGAAGGGTTATTGTAAAGAAGGATTCTGTTTATTGATTATCAGAACCAACAACAGCAGGTAGTTCTGGGACAGCTGACAAATTGGTTTGATGATACATGGATTTTTATAGGGTTCTGGGATGCTGCAGGGGGTTGTGTAGTGAACTTTGTTCCTTTTGCTATTCTAATGGTGGTGGGTTAATCCTACTATGTCTTAAAAGCCCTGTCCTGCCCTTCTTAATCCCATCACCTGGAGCTGAAAGTGTTTTGTTTGTGAATAGATTGGCCCAGTCTTTCTTAATAGGCACAAAATAGCCATCTCTAAAGACTTCAGGCATCTGCTGGAGGCTATTTCACTATGCAGGAAGACTGGGGGTGCTTTCTGCCTTTAAGAGCATGTTTCTCCATTTCTCCTTTGGGGAAATATAATATTTTGTCTCTTCATATTCCCCAAAATATTTCATTCTCTGGGTGGAGGGTTTCATACAAGGATAAAGTGCTTCACAAAATGCATACTTGATTAAATTTATACAAACTAGCTAACCAGAGTTTATTTTAAAATGAGGTATAGTTGAACTTAAATACATGATTAAATTATAAGGAACTAAATATGTATTGTAGATATATTAATTATAGATTATTCAATAACTACCATTTGCCAAAATTGTCGATACCAATGCAGCGCCAAACCGGTATAATCATCCACAAAAGAGGTGCATTCCTGGGTTAAAGTTCTTCAAAGGGGCGGAGTCAAAGCTTCAGGGATCAGCAATTCCACCAAGAATGGTTCGTATAAGGTTTGTATAGAATGGGTATCTGAACGTGTTGCTTCCCTTCCCCGCCTTCCAAACGGCATTACCGAAGAATTTTGTGTGGAGCTGGTCTGACAGGGCTACGTTGCATTTTGCTGAGTTTGGACAGCGCCAAATATCACGCTACTCCTCTCGGCAACGACCTAAAGCGATAAGAAGGCAGTGACATGGAATAAATCCTCCGGCCTCTAGGTGATGCTGCGGCGTCCTCTTCGGAAACTCAGCCTTTGGAAAAGTCACTTGCAAGGATTCGGTGGCAGCGGAGCCTTCAGTTCCTCTTCGGTTCGTTTTTCTCGGACTCAAGATGTGGGCTGCTAAATTCGCGAACTCCCGTTCGCCTCTCCTGTCCTCGGTGCTGTTGCTCTCGAAGGGAGCCCCAGCTTCCAGCTCGCCCTTTCACTCCTCGGCGCACCTCCATAAGGCTAAAGTGGCTGTGGTGAGTTCGCCTCGGCGGCAAAGGCCTCATGGCTGCTTGGGGGAGGGAGGAGGAGGAGGAGGAGGAAGTGTAGCCGGGAGGGGTCCTTTTTAGAAGGCTTTGAGGCGCGGGACTCAGCCTGCGCTCCTTCGGCAGCCGCTTTTCTCGGACGCCACCAAAGGAGGCTTCAGTCCGACGGCAAAACCGAACACTGCAGCTTTGGATCATTTTTCCAAGACTCAGAGTCTGCCGCAATTGGAGGTGTGTGTGTGTGTTGCCAAAATTATCAACAACTGAAATTCCACACAGGTATGTTACGTGACTGTATCTGGCCGACCTTGGCTTGACTCGGTCATTGGGGAGTCACAGGAATTAAGGAATCCTAGGATTAGTCGAAGTCGCAGGACTTCTCACAAGGCAATGTCAAACTATATATATAGCAATTCACTATTTTTTAACATAACATACCAAATGACACTTCATATAGGTGTTTTAAGACAAATGAGTTTAAATATAACCTTACACATAAATTACACTCAGAAGAAACTAGTAAAGTGACCACTGAGATCAGTGTGTATGTGTGTGTGTGTGTGTGTGTGTGTGTATCCCTGTTATCATCTTAAACTGAGTTGACCCCAGTGGTAACTCTATAAGTTACTTCTGAGTGTAATTTATGTATAAGGATATATCTAAACACATTTGCCTTTTAAAGCACCGAATGAAGTGTCTATTTGGTATGTTAGTAACTTGCTCATAATTATCTATTGAAGTTAATGGTTGAAACCTAAGCCTCCAATTGTAGATCAGCATTGTAGTGACGAAGTGCACAACTTTTTAAAGATTATCTCTCAACTTTATGCAGCATCTAGGGTTACAGAAAGCCAAACAAAGTGAGTGGAGGGACAAAACTGAATTTGGATTAAAAATTGTCTGGATTAAAAAATTAAGTGCAACAGAATTCAGTGTGATTAATCAAATGGCCTATTATATTTCAAATTATAGCTGATTTACAACAACTGGAGAGCTCTTGTGGGCTAGGGAGGCATAGTAAGGCATTTTTGCTCCAATTTCTTTGCTTGTATAGTCAGTTTCTTTGGCATCTTCAAGATTGATATTTAATGGAGTTAATTTTAATCTTCAAAACATTGTGCTCTGTTAATGTATTAGAATTTTAAGCTATCTCTTGTTTGTATTGCTCCAGATTACTTGCACTAGGGTGGCCAAGATGTCACAAACTTGAAAAGCAGCTAATTGTTCTCTATTGATGCACTTTATCTATATAGACATATACAATATTACATAAAGGAGTATGTGCAGTATAAATCAGTTCAGAAGTAAGCCATTATTCCTTACTAAATTGTAACTGTATCTCCAGTTTTTTATAAGAGAACAGGTCTAAGCATCCTGGGACCATCCATGTACATTAGAAGAGCCTAGACTAGGGCATGGGTGTCAAACTTGCGGTGTCACGTTACTGTCACATGACATTTGGTTATGTTTTTTCCCTTCGTGGAGCTGGGGTGATGTGGCCTGTGCATGATGCATCCGGCCCATAGGCCACCAGTTTGACACCCCTGGCCTACAACTTTCATTGTGCTTTCAAACCTCCACTGTTATTGTAGAAAATGTATGGCATAATTTCTGCCTTACCTTTTAGCAAAAATTGTAGGTAAACTTATAATAGGTTCACCAATGTTTAAGCCCCCCTAATATTTCCCTTATAAATAATCAAGCCCTGTTTTTGAATGCTGTTTCATTTAATTGTTTGGTTTCCATAATTTTAGGGACTCATACTTTATCATAAGACATAAGAGATCAGAATGTAGATGTCAGAAATATTTAAGATATAATAATATAGTTGTCTGATAACAAATTAATGAAGTAAAGGAAATCAAATCTTTCCTACTGCTTCATTCATTTCTTCTCTGTGGTATATAAACTACTTCTGGGTATCGTAACAATTTTTTTCCTAAGAAAATTCCCACTTGAAATGGAGAAATTATTAAAATCATTCGAACTTTCCATACAAAACTGCAATGTTACAGCAGTATTTGAGGATCAATAAATGCTACTTCATTTAATGGGAATGTTCTTAAGTTAACAGCAGGTTTGAAATGTGACCTCCTAAGAATAAGTTGTCCCTGTGAGAAGATAAGTCAGGATATTAGCTGGTATAAAACACACAGCCAGTACTTGAACAAATGAAGGATTTTATTGTGGATGCTATGATTCCTATATGAATAAAATACAGTGATCCAGTATTATATATAAGAGGAAATATTATTTACAAACCAGTATGTGTTTCTGTGCACATACGGAACAGTATAAAAAGACAATGTAGGAGATTGTATTTCCTTTCTCTCAAGACTTGCTTTCTGCTTGTAATTTATAACAGCTTCTTCTTTCCTTCCTTATTTCAACTATTGATACAGAAATGCCTTGTGAGTTTTCTCCATGCAGTCTTGCTCCCCAACAAAGCCTTTAACTCATAAAGCTTCACTGTCCTGCACATGAATCTCCATACACACAATACAGTCTGCTCTCACAAGCTCTTCTAGGTTTCTCCTTCTGGTCTTCCCCCTTGTCTCAGGATTGGAATCTCTGAACTTGACAGGATGTGTTGTTCTTCTGCTCCATGTTAACCAAGTAAAGTTCTCTCGAATAGCAGAAATATAAAATCACCCTTTATTTGCTTTTTAAAATGTTTTTATAATCTGTATGTATAGTTTGAATGCACATGTCACTTTACAAGTGCATTCTAGCATTTCCCCTTTTCTACCTATGACCTCTTAATGTTGTGCTGAGTTACTTTCCTTCTGCAAAAATAAACCCATGATTTTGCCACAGACCACACCACTTTCCTTCAACCAGGCACTTGAAGCTGCCACAATCCCATATTTCACATATACCATATTTTTTACTGTATAAGACACACTGTTTTGTCTCTCAAAAGTTATGTTTGTGGGTCTTATAGAGCGAATATTGCTGAAACCTTGCCCACCCGCCAGCCCTCACTATTCGGCCTTTTTTGGTCTCTGTGTGTCCTGTTTTTGGCCTCCCTGGGTCCCCTTTTTGGCCTCCGTGTGCCTCATTTTTGGCCTCTTTATGTCCCATTTTTGGCCTCCAAAAATGGAAAACACGGAGACCAAAAACAGGACTCATGGAGGCCAAAAACGGGGCACATGGAGGCTGAAAACAGGGTGTGCAGGCTGAAAATGGGGAGGCCAAAAATGAGAGTGTGTCTTATGGTCAGGTGCATCTTATAGTGCAAAAAATATGGTACTTTGTATAATAAAACAATCTACATTACTTGTATAAGCATATAATCTATAAAACTGGGTGTATTATTTTATCTCCCGATATATTTGCTCCCTCTTTTAAGTTGGTTCATCACCTTTTGTGGTCTTCAAGCTGTGTCAGGCTACTACTTTTATCATATCTGTAGTTCAATAAATTTAGCAAGATTAGAAGGTATCTAGAAAAGGCTATTTTATTTTATCTTTATTTCTTATTACAGGTTCTTTCTGGTTGTGGTGTTTATGATGGCACTGAAATCCACGAAGCCTCTGCGTAAGTGTATTTTTAACAGTGCAGGACGACCTCCATTTCTATAAGTAAAGCTGATTGATAGATAATCTAGTTATCTAGATAGGATTTCAGCATTAAGTGACTTTCCATTAGAATATTTTGGAATGTCATTCTCCCTTCTATCAATATTTAGTAGACTCTAGATGAGAGGGGCAGAATATAAATCTAATAAATAAAATAACATTTCATTTTAAATTAAACTTCAATTTAATGGAGTATTTATTATACTTTATTATAATATATTATAATATATTTATTATATTTTGATGATAATAAATTCTGAAAAAATCTGGATAGTGGATTTGGCAATACCCAGAGACAACAGAATAGAAGAGAAAGAACCGGAGAGTAGAAAGAGTGGCAAAAGAGAGCAAAGGTAGTACCAATATTAATAGGTACCTTGGTGTAGGAGGAGGGCAGATTGAGCTGGAATATAGAATTAAACATGTCAGTTGGAGCACCATTTGAACACCATCCACATTGACAAAATCAGTAATTGCAAAAGGCAGCTTTGCTTGGAAGAGCTTGCATCCTGCGATGATACCTTTGACGCCATCAATGATCAATATCTGTCTATCCCAGGCCCTTGGGAAGGACTTGATAGGTGATAAAAATGCCAAAACCAGTCTAAATTTCTGGCTGACTGATGAATCCAGTCTAAACATCTGGCTGAGTATGTGACAAATCATAATAATTTATTACATTTATATGTAGGATAATGGTTCATTTGAGCCGAGGAGGAGCCAATGTTGACATGTATGCCCCAAATATTTCTCAGATGCATGTTGTTGATCACAGCAAAGGTCAGC